TACCGGGAGCCCGTCGCGGGGACTGGGTTGCCCTTGCACGGCGCGTACTCGCCGACCTGGTTCATGAAGACGAAGCAGCACTGGATCCGCTCGAAGCCCTCCTCCGCATCGACCGGGCCTGGGCAGAGGACGCCCCCCGGCGTGCAATCTCCGCCGACTCCGGCTACGCCGATTCTGACTTGTCTGACGAGCCAAACCAATACCAAGAGCTAAATCTCGAGGATGAAGCGCTGTACCCCGACGAAGAAGAAGGTTGGTACCCCGAAGAAGAGGGTCGAGAGTTTTAAGAGAAAAAGCGAGCGAGAGAATGTGCAGCAGCCGCCCGTCCCAATGCCCAACGGTCTTCAGACCCGTGATGAAAGGTTGCAAGTGGGAGTACCCTGTCGGTTCGGCCGTTTTTGGCGGTACGAACTTCGCGCGGCCCTCCCGGGAAAAAAAACCAAATTGCCTAATAGGTCCAAGGGTAAGACGAACCGCTGGTCGTAACGCGGCCGGGAACAGAACGGAATGCAGAGGGGGGGCGGGCGGACAATCAACAGTCAGTGTTTCAGTAATGAAAAGTTCGAGTGCCGGTTTAGGATGTAGCGTCTCAGGTGGTGTTCTGGCTCTGTTCCAGCCGAGCTCGCCGTCTGCGTCGCTGTCGAGTGATTCCGTTACGCCGCCGGCTTCGGTGGACGGAGACGCAGACTTCGTTAGCTCTATCAACACAAGTGGTACTCAAAGCTTGGAGGGGTCCGATTTGACCGGTTCTAGTTCGCCTGTTCCGAGTTTGCCGCGGGTTCCAGCAAAGCCCCGATTCGGGTTCTTCCCCAGACCGACGGTGTCTGATCTGAACTTATCCGAGCTGAGGCTGTCAGACCAAGAGGATTCCCTGGGGCCCGTAGGGAGCGGCGCGGCCACAGGCACAGGCTCGCTCACAAGCACAGGGTCGCGATCAAACGAGAACATGCAAGTGGACTCGTGTGATGACGACGTCAGTTTGTTCGAGATAGAATCCGACGACTGGAGAGAGAGGGAGCGGCCCCCTAGACAGCCGTCCCCGACGCCGTCCAGCTTAAGCGAGTCAGAGTTGTCGCAAGTTTCTCTTCCCGCAACCCATCGATTCGGCATCTACGTCGAACCAGTGCAGCGTGATGCCGGGTCACGCGAGCCAACAGCGAGTCTGCCGGCACCCGGGAGTTCCCGGCCGACCAGGAACTCCGAGTCATCCTTGTCGGACGCTTCTGGGGAAGACAACCGGTTCGGGTTTGTGCGGGGGTCAAGGCGGGCCCGGCAATGGGTTCCGACGCTGCCTGCGCGAAGCTGCTCACCTGTGGCACACGCATCGCCCTCTACCTCCGCGGCCCCTCCGTCCTCGGTCCTCGCAGTCGCCGCGGTGTCTGACTTCGCGAGCGCTGCCGTTGCGAGCGCTGCTGCGGCAGTTTCGGGTCTCATCCGGACGGACATGCCCACCACAGGTGGCTCTGATGCTTATCCAGGATCCAGGCGTAAGCGGCCTGCATCCTGGGGCAGTAGTACTTGGGGCGGCGGTAGCCATCGTTCACACGCGGACTCCGAGGTGCTACCTGGACCCCAACCCAGCTTCGATGAGGACAGGTCCAATAGAAACAGCCAACCACTGGCTTTTGGGCGCGACGCCCCCTCCGTATCGATTTTACATGAATTCCTGGAGCGGCAGCAGCCAGAGCCACTCTCGCCCCTACAATTACAGGAGTGGGCTGCCGCGTGCGACCCAGTTACCGGGGAAGGTTTCTCACTCGAAATGGCTCAGTGTATAGCTGTAACCGCGGCGACAATGAACACCCTCCCACCTGCTGAAACCTGCTTATGGTTCCTCACACACGTGCCCGTTGACGACATCGACAGATACAAAGCTGTGGCCGAGTTCCTTCACGGAGTCGTCTTTCCCCCCGGCGAGACGACGAAAATCAGCTTGTCAGAGATCAACTTGTCAGAGATGGAAACGATGCCTCAGCCACTCAACGCTAAACAGATGAAAGGGCCACAACCGTTCGATTCCACGCAACTGAGGTGCTGGGCCTCCACCTGCCACCCGGTCAGACGTCAGGGTTTCAACCTACAAACGGCTCAGCGCATGGCTGCAACCGTTGCGTTGATGCGCAAGCGCGATGGCATGCCCCCCTGTGACACCTACAAGTGGATTATGTCCCACGTCCCCATTGACGACATTGAGAGGTACAAAATCGTGGCCAACTTCGTTCACATAATCGTGTTTGGTCCCAAAACATCGTCGGCGACGGAAACATCGTCGGCGATTGAAGCATCGTCGGGGATGGGAACATCGTCGGGGATGGGAACATCGTCGGGTATGGGAATACCGTCGGCGATGGATCCGTCGGAGCCAGTCGGCTCTGGGCAGACGAAAGAACTGAAGCGGCTCAGTTCCCAGCAGATCAAGATCTGGGCGAGCACGTGCGACCCGGTCAGTCGAGAAGGTTTCACCGATGACGTAGAGGAGGGCATCACCGCAACAATCGCGCCGATGCAGCAGTCCTGGTGTCCGACAGATGTGTACAGGTGGCTCATCAAACACGTGCCGGTTGAGGACATCGATCGGTACAAAGCCGCAGCAGAGTTCCTCCACAGAATCGTCTATGGCCCGGAAACATCACCGCCGGTCGCCTCCACTAGTTTCGCCACGACCCCAGAGATAGTGCCGTTGGACACGCACGAGCTGAGGGGCTGGGGAAGGACGTGCGACCCGAGTCGAGGTTTCTCCCGCGAAATAGCACTCCGTATTGCGGCTACGGTTGGCTTGATGCGGAGCAACAAGCAGCCGGAAGAAATCTACTCCTGGCTACTCCAGTTCGTGCCTAAAGATGACGGGGACAGAACAACGATTATTTGCGACTTCCTTCACAAGGTCGTGTTCGGCAGAAAACAGCACGAAACTTTCGAGCCACTCGACTCCCAGCAAATCAAGTCCTGGGCAAGGGCCTGCGACCTGGCCACGGGTCGAGGCTTCTCACGCCCCGTTACCGAACGCATCAGTCTAACTATCAAATCCATGCGCGGCACCCTGGCCTCCGCCCAAATCTATAGGTGGCTCATGAAACACGTGCCCACTGACAACATCAATCGCTACACAACCGTCGCCACATTTCTTCACGATGTCGTTTACGGCCCTGAAAGAGTCGACAGCCAACCCAGCTACATACCTCCTGTGTCTAACTAGACCCCTGTGTACTACAAAGGGCCGGTGTCTAGAACAGTCAAAGAAAGATGTGCCCGTCCGGTGCGGCGCAAAGTCGGTCGAGCGCAGCAATCGACAGGCTTTAGAGGTTGAGGGATTTTTTCGCTACGGCCTCGACAATGTCTCTAAGTTGTCTCCTGGCCATGGTGGCGCTCACATGTGTGGGTCCGGTTATGACGAGGTGTAGTTCATGTTGGCCGAGTGTGTCGAGGGCTCGACGTGCGGGATCGACATAGACACCCTTGACATAGGCGACAGCTCCGGTGGCGTCCGCAACGCTGTTTAATAAATCTCGTTGCGAAACTTGGAATCGAGCCTGACTCGGGTAGCCGTTGATGCTCAGGTGCAACACATGGTTACCCGCCGCGTCCACGAAATCCGCAGGCACCTTCTCCACACCTCCCACAGCACGGGCCAGCAATCGCTGCGCCTGTTCCCGTGCCGTTCCGCGTCGCCGTGCTGCTCGCTCTTTTCGTGATGGTCGCGCCGTCTCTGTCAAAGGCGCGAAAACTGAAGGCCCGAACACAGAGGCGGCTCCGGCGGCGGCGCCGCCGCCGAGGAGGTCTAGTCGCTGCATTTCCTGTTCGACCACTCGGCGCACAGTGGGTTCGAGTGACTTTTTTTTGGCTTCGCGGGCGAGCGTGTCGAGCATGCTGAGTGTCCATTGGTCAAGGAGTTCTTCAACGCGTGCTTCAATACGTTCTTCGCGGCTCTGTTGTACGTTCTGTTGCGCGTTCTCTGCCTTCCGTTCGGCGTCATTCTCCAGCTCGGGTTCCGCCGGTAGGATGCCGAGTTCTTTTTTCCAGAACTCCTTGGCTGCTTGTCGTTCGGACTTCTCGGACGGGTCGAAGGTGAAGCCGTGGCCCTGGAAGCCCTTGCGGCGGCTGACGACGACGGTGCCTTTTTCTACCTTGTCTGCGAACTCGTCGGCGAGTTGCTGGACCTGTGGCTGTATCTCTGCCTGTGTTTCGCGGGCTACAGTGAGTATGTCGTGTGCCTTGTCGCCTTCCTGGGGCAGGAAGAAGGTAAATGCGACGCCGAGGTTGCCTGCCCGGCCAGTTCGTCCGACTCGATGGATGTAGTCTTCGCCGTGGTCGGGAGCGTCGTAGTTGACGACCAGCACGACGTTGCGTACATCAAGGCCGCGTGCAGCTAAACTGGTCGCGAGAAGAATGGTGCGTGTCTTCGCCCTGAAATCGATCACCGCCAGGTCGCGTTCTTCCGCGTCTTGGCCGCCGTGTAAAGCGATGGCGGGGTAGCCGTAGCCAAGCAGCTGCACAAAAAGCGTCTCTACGGACGCCTGGCTTGCACAAAAGATGATAATACTTTCACCGTGGAGATACCAATCACCCAGGATCTTGAGCAGGCGTAAAAATTTTGCGTCCTCGTTCGCACAAAATTCCAGATACTGCAACACTGAGTCGGCAGGTCGTCCCCGCGCACCCACCACGATCTCAACCGGTTTCGATATGGCTTGTCGGGCTAGTGTCTCCAGCCAGTGGGGAAAGGTTGCGCTAAATAAGCTAATCTGTCGGTCAGGTCTCACATTACCCACCAATCGTTCAATCTGAGGGGCAAACCCCATATCAAACATTCTATCCGCCTCATCCAAGACGACCACATGTACAAAGCGCAGGTTCATAACACGTCCTCGATTTAGCGTTAGAATCTCCGTCAATCGTCCAGGTGTTGCCACCAGTACATCCGAGCCTCGACGACATGCTGAAAACTGGTCTCCCAGTCTTCCTCCGCCATATACCACGTTGCTACTCAAGCCTACGGCTGAACCATACCGCCGACTCTCCTTACCAATCTGTATTGCTAACTCACGAGTAGGAACTAATATCAAACCTCGCGGACCCTCACCCAACTTCAACTCCGGCTCCTGTACCTTGCAATGACGCAACATGGGTAGCAAATACGCCAGTGTCTTACCAGAACCAGTGCACGCCACCGCTATCAAATTACGCCCACTCATCAACACAGGCAAAGCCTGCATCTGAATTGCAAACGGCTCTAAGATACCCTTCTGAGCTAATTTCGCCAACAACGCATCCGGTAAACCACACTGACTAAACTCCTTTATAGGCCGAGGACAACCCTTACCCTTCACGCGGATCTGGTGACTCTTCCGCACCATCTCCACCTCTCGGTCCGTCATCTCGCTAATCTCCGGAACTACACAAACAGACAATCGCACGCACACACGCCCGAGACACAGACACACGCCGTAGACACAGAAGGGACACACACACGTGTTAACACACTCACCTTCTATATAGGGAGACTTATTCATCTCATCATACTCCATCTTGGAGTGGTCCACCGGATCCAATTCCTTTTTGCTACCATGCTTCGCAAGGAGCGCGAAGTAGCTCTCCTCCGGCTCTCCCTCGATTGCGAGGTAATCGTCCAGTGCCCCCTGCTCGTTGTCATCGTCCTCTACCCCCAAGCGCATTAGCTGCGTCTTATCCGAAACTGGCTGGTCTCCAGCACCCGGCTGGTCTCCAGCACCCGGCTGGTCTCCAGCACCCGGCTGGTCTCCAGCACCCGGCTGGTCTCCAGCACCCGGCTGGTCTCCAGCACCCGGCTCCGATGGAAGCCCGGCGTCCAAACGCACCGCAAGTGCGGCCTTGGGCTCGGACCCAGGATCATGGGCGGCGGCGTCTCCGTCTTCGATGTTCCGATGGTTCAGTGCTTCAACCGGGCTGGTCTCAATCAGGCGAGCCGCAACCGGGCTGGTCTCAATCAGGCGAGCCGCAACCGGGCTGGTCTCAATCAGGCGAGCCGCAACCGGGCTGGTCTCAACCTGACTGGGTGCAACTTGGCCGGGTTCCACATGGCCGGCGGATGGAAGAACACTGCTTGGGGACAAACCGGTTGGTGATACACCCGTAGGGAAGGCCCCGGCTGAGGATAGGCTTGAATTCAGAGTTGGAGCCTTGGGGAATAGGGTCGGGGGGGTGGGGTCTTCTTCGTCGTCCGACTCGGTGGCGTCTTGCAGGTGGGGCATTCGCAGGTCCGCTGCAGAGGGCATAAAGAGGCGACGGCTTTGTCCCTCCTGCGCCTCGAACAACGACTGCACCGCCGGCCTCCGTGCGGCCCCTCGGCCGGGCCCGAGCGGCAGAGTTGAGAGCGCACGGCCTGACATCCCCGAGGGCGAAGCCTTTGTCGCGCGTAGTACCAGCGCCGGCTGGCTCTTGGGCAGC